AAGCCTTAAGGCAGTGTTCCACAGGTCCGGCTCAAGGCACCCATCACTACGTGGAAACCACCCCTGTTCGCCATCGTGTGAGTGCCTGACCCTCCGGTGATGATAGCTCGTCACTCGCCACATCATCGTCAGGCATAGAAGGGAGTGGAGGGAAGGGTAGAGTGAGCGTTGATCAGGACAAACGAGCCACGATCGGCGATCGCGCTACGCGCAGTGTGGCACGTGCCGGCTTCTGACCGGCATCCTTTTGGAGTTCGAAATGCCTTGAGATTGGGGGGTTCCTCTATGGACCCCCGCCCCGGGTATCAGGCTAGTCCACCCCGAACTGAACTTATTTCATCATATGTTCTAACACCGTTCATGTCCAATAGTTAAATTAGCCTCGAAATTTAATTTTTGGTATGTAAAGTACAATAATTATTGTATCTAAAACTGACTTCCATCTACTAGTCTTTCTTTCTCGCAAAGAATTGTCAATTATGGGTGGTAAGAAGCCCTGCAAAAGGATGTGCTGCTGCACCGGCTAAACTGAACTTGTAAGTCCTAGCGCCTGACATCGGTGTCTGAACTGACAATCTGATGAACTACTACTTACCCTAACACCGGCTGCACTTACGGTCGTAATAGCACAGTATACAAACACGATTCCTCTCAGCCCCCACGTGGGATGGAAGCTCAAAAACAGTCTCCACGAAGTGTGCAGAGGCACAGCGTTGGAATAATTCCTAGCGGTGGATGAGGACATAAATACGGGATTGACGTAGTACGTGGGTAGTTACCGTACAATACGCAGAGTGAAGAACAAAGAGACGTGTAGCTACTGGTACCGAAACTTAACTGTTGACCAATCAGTAGATTCAATACGCGAGCTATGCACGAGGATGATATCCAATACACGTTCCACGCGAAGCTGGCCAACGTCCAATAATACCGACTTGGGTTGATATCATCGCACATTGAAACCAAAACAGTAGTCATAACTAATTGTACATGAGGGTGTATATACGTAGTAGATATAGTAGTTATCTAGAATGTTCATTAACGCTCACTGGCAAGCAGTGGGAACGGTATAACCCTATAGATCGATCGACCATCCATCAGTAACATCCTTCGCAAAAAGTAAAAAACGACTTACATTCGTTCTAATTCCTCCACCCCAAGGAGTCTTACCATCAACCCTCGAATCCACGCCAAGCCCGCGCTCCGCGAAGGCTTTCCACAGCGTGCAAAAGTTCTCTCCCCCAGTGAGCTGTTCATCGGCTTGAATGATCGCATCACGAGCTTCGAAGAAACCTGGTCGGCAGGGTTGGAGTTTCATTCCGTTGATGACGAGCCTAATTGCAGAGGTAGATGAGCAACAAGAAGAGTAGAAGGGAAAGAGGAAACATACTGGACGATCAACGAGTTACCATGTTTGGGCACCAAAGGCTTCTTGCCAGCACGGGGTCGGTAGAACTTGCCCTCGGGGACGCTACCGTCAGCCAAGGGAGCAGGAGGGAACAAGTCATCGCTGAACCCGTGTACAGCAATGAGACGCTGCTCGACGACCCAAAGTATCTGAGCCCAGACTTCACCAATGGCGTGGACACCCCAGTAGCCGGGCTTGTCCAATGTCTGGTAGGTCGAAGGGTTGACGGTATCATTCTACGAAAGTATGTCAGAATGAGGAGAAAACGCCGCACGCCCGACTTACAAGAGAGTAAGGGTAGTTCCTGATACCCTGTTCGCGATTAGCGGCCCATGCACCCATAGGGAAGTCAGAGTATTCGCTCGTGCTTCGGATGGTAGTAGCCAAGAAATCTGTACGACATGATCAGCAACAACGCATCAGCAAGGACAACAACATCGCCTACCTCCCCAGCCCTCACCCATACCACCACTCTCTCCCCAGCCCAAACATGAGGAGCTTGCAGGTCCACCAGTCAACCGAGTGCTCAAACCATGACTCAACTCATGAATGACGATGCCTGCTTCCATATCGCCATCTCTATAGGGTAGAGCAGTGTTCCACAAGTACATCCTCATGCGTCCGTTACGACCATCAGGCGGGGTCATGAAATTGGCGTTGTTATATCCGGAACCGTCCTGAGCGTTGGCAATAACAGCGTCATTCTCCTCGCCTCCACGACCGAAGTTATGCTGTTGGAAGTTGCCAGACACCTCATCGAATCCGTACCTGAAGACGCGGGTTAATGGGAAGACGCTAGAGGAGAGAGCCTGCTTACCTATAGTAGAAGTCGTGTATGATGTTGGTAGTGTAGAACAGTTGAGTGACAGTGGCATTGATGTAACTATACGCCTCGTCTTGCGCGTCAACCTTGTCGGTGACCTTAGGCGCATATTTGTAGTCAAAGGCTTTGTCGACACCCGCGTCGGGACGGTAGTTGTTGATGAATGAGTTTTGACCTTCCCAGTTCTCCTGTGCAAAGACCTACGAACCCTCAGTTATAGCAGTTCTTCTGGATTAAGCATCAACTTACGTTGTTGCCCCAAGTTGTTGTGGTGTTCCTCCAAAATTGCTTGCTGTTGAGTTTGACGCCTTTCAGAGACGGGTCGTTGGCATAAGGAATCGCATGCCAGCCCACAGGGGATGCCAAAATGTCGAAGTTCTCCTTCACGATGGTACGTTTGCCTTCCTCAGGATCATTCGTACCCCAACCGAAGATGTTGTAAGTAGCCGGTTCGACGGAGGGCTCCGGAGTAGGAATAGGGGCATCCGATGCCCAGTCAACGACGGAGATGATACGGTGAGGGGACGTGGCGGAAACGGCAGCATCATACCAGTTGTCTTGCATCTCAACTTCGAACTAAGGGCTGTATAAGTCGCGATGACGGCGGAGAAGGATTGTCACTTACCCTCCAAACTAAGTTGAGATCGATACTGTCACCTTTCTTGTTGGGCACTTGAATGTAGGTCAAGCTCGACCTCACGGGGTTGACGGCGTCCGGAACGTTGTCGATAGACATGACGACAGGTTCGTCGGGATTAATAAAGTGATCTTCCCGAGAGACAGTCATCTTCGCGAGGTACTCGTCATAGTTGGCAAGAATATCATTGACCATCTTGTCATCAGGGGTGGCCGCCAGCATAAACTGGAGAAGAGCAGGTCGAACGTCAGCGAAATCGACCTCGGCCGAAGAGGCCATGTCATAAGGAAGATGCGTAGCACGGCAGTTGGAGGTGTGTATATGCGCTAGGGGTCCAAAGAATGAGCGGAATTTAGGGTGAGATTCCCAAGAACCAAATTCCTCCATGACGGTCTGTCCGTACTGTCCCAGGAAGGAATCAAGACGACTCTTCATCTCAACCTCGAGTTCCTCGCAGTATTCTCGGTGAGGGTGACGAATGTCATCAAGGTCGGGATTGGAGAAAGCTTGAGGAGTCAGTCCTTTGTAAAACTAAAGACGAGTTAGGCGAGGCTCAGGATTAAGAAAGCGCAAACTTACCGAGTTACCATATGATATCACCAAACCATCCTTGATATTGATGTTCATATCGCCATCAACAACCTCTAGACCGTTCACAATCTGGCGAACGTAGACATGGGTAATTCCGGTATTCTTGTCGGTATAAGAATCCTTCCGAATTCTATAAGAGCTGGTATCTGAGAGCTGGTCGACCAGGATATCCTCTATGAAGAGCTTCGCGACCTCAAAAGGGTCCTCTATGAGAGCTGACGGAAGGAAACTGTTTGTGGTAATCTGATAAGGATTGGAGTGATACACCGCGTGAGGATGAACAGGACCGAATCCCAATGACTTCCGTAGTCGTGTAGGGCTCGGGTGACTCGAGTGGGCTACCGCTAGGGCGGCCAGCGACGCGATGACTAAACAACGCATTGAGAAAGAGGGGACAGCAAGTTGGATATTGTAGCAGGTCGCAGGAGGGTCAATATATAGGGAAACGGGAGATGGTAGTGGTTGAAGTTCAAGAGAGCTTGCGTACGCAACAACACCCAAAGGGGTGAGATAAGGATTGTTGCCGGCTGGTCGCGTGCCGATAATTAGTCATATTCTGTCATTTCCTTCTTCGGCATAGTCACGACTTGGAGCCTTCCTTGAGTGCTTTTAACGTGTTCCCTGGCCTGAAGTATCCCGTTTCATTACATTAACGCTTATCTCTTCAGACCGAAATTTACCTACTGACGAGTCGACGCTGCTGACCGGGTTTTCCGCCTCGCTTTTCCCGCCACCTCATTGAAACCGCGTTCTGATAAGGTTGCCCCAATATTTTGCCCTATGGTCAAGAAAAACGTTGTCGAGGTCCCCGTTTACTTCGCCTTCGGAATTTGGGACGATCCTTTTGGGCAGGTGGAACGACACTGTATCAAAGGCAAGGCAAATTTGTGATGCCTTCATCTACATCTGCCGAAGGGCCCCTTCCAGTACTTAGCGCAAGGACGCAAATAGCTTCCTTATCCTTTAGCGGCGCTTTCACGGAACTGCTACACAGCATGAATTCTCCGAATCTGCAACATTCCACATGACATTGACATCGGGGATAGGCGTATTGGCAGTCGGCCCCAATGATACCACGGACTTGGCTGGATCACTGTGGAGACGGTCATGCGTTCCGGTTTGTATGGAGCGGTATAGCAGGAGGCGTTAGTAGAGGCGGTTGACTCTTTCCTCGTTCTGTCAATAAATCTTTGGGAGTTCGACGCGGATACCATCAAACAAAGAGGCTCAGAAATATAATCGTGTAGTCCGTTCATCATGCATCATCCCTGATTGATATCGATACAGATATTGGCGAGTGCATTGATAATTATTATAGAGGTGTGCTTAGCGCTTTATTTTGACACGGGACTTCATAACTCTTCATGCTTCTCTGCGTACTTCTGTTCAACGTTCAACTGTCGTTCAACTTCAACAGCATGAAAAAAAAGATGCGAGACTTAGACTCAAGGTAAACGTAGCCATCCGGAAGAAGTGAGTGGCGTGACTATGCAAGCCTGTTTCCTGAGTCTCTTCAACAGCTGTCGTTTCCCTCTGCCTGAGGCTTGATGGTCTAGTAGTATGATTCCTTGTTAGGGCGGTGTTCTGTTATTTCGAGGAGGTCCTGGGTTCAATTCCCAGTCAAGCTCGTCCCAGTGGGCACGTATGCTTTTTTCAATTAAGTACGTGTTCATCTTCGATTCTTCGAAACTTCGGTGTATCACTGTCAGGTTTTCGTACACAATCCTACTTGGAAACTAGGTTTCATGGCAATTGCTGGGGCTGGATTTCCGACGGACCGATACTCCCAGGACCGAATCATTCAATGAAGAACGATCAAGTCGCTCTCAAGGTCTGGTCTACACTTTACCCCATTTATGCTATGAATGGTGTCTCTTAGATGAGGCCTATTCGGACATAAGCGTGCCATTAATCCCTTGCCAGATCCTCTACTTCATTATTTCTACTTCATACCGAAATACTATTACGTCGTTGACATGCGATGTCCTTGTTTACCGGTGATCATTTTTTCTCCCTACATAGTCCAGTCAAAACATCAGACAATACCGCAAAAAAAGGCTCACTTACACGTCCGCATCCCCCAAGATTTCCTCGAACCTATTCCTCAGCCTTTGCACCTCTCTCTTATGGACATCCTCCGTGCTCGACCCAAAATCCACCAGAAACGCCTTGCATTCCCTGATGAACTGCTCGAGATCCCTTGCCACCATTAGGGATCGCTCCGGTTTCGTTCGATCCTCGGGCTCTGGTGAGGAATGCTGCTGTAAGCGTTCGATATACCCCCTAGCAGGAAGAATGATGAACACTGAGATTCAGGGGAATAGGGAGAAGTAACTTTACCGAGGATGGGCAGGACGATTGTGATCTAAAAAAGGCCTTCAGTCACCGTATCTAAGTGCAAAATACTGATATCGCATCTCGCGTCCCAGTAACAAGTGCTGAGATAGCAGTCGTCAGAGCGCCAACAAGGAGCTGTATGCCTATGCAAGACATTTCGTTCTGTGGTAATTCTCTAGAGGTTGCAAAGGCTTACCGATAGCGATGTTCATGGTGTACCCTTTCATTATCGCGTGCTCCACGTATTTCTTCCTCTCCAGCTCTGCTGCTATAATCGTAGGTATTATCCGCTCCTCTACACTTTTGACATGGATCTGTCCAGAGTGAGTAGATTGGATCGGCATCTGAGAAAGTGACCTACCTTAGACTCGTAAGGAACAATCCAGTCAAGGGCTGGTATGGGAGGCAGAGGTCGGTTGGCACGGTCATGTCCGATCTGAAGCAAAGAATCTATGATGCTTGAGTGTGTATTATTCATCTCCTGGGTAGACACAGTCAATGTGGTACTAGCTGCCAGTTTTGGGACTGTCGGTGCAGTCATTTCTGATGGTTTTGTGGAAGTGGGGCTATGGTCCTGGAGCGTTGGATTCTTGAAAGCATGTCCAACAGTAGCTATGCCTGCAGCGAGGACAGGCGCAGTGGTAGAAATTGCTGAAGGAGCAGAAGGCATAGTGGTAACGGAAATCACGTTTACAGAGATACAAGTCGGCTTTGTGGGTGCATATTTGGCATCAAGAGATGGAGCCATTGGCTGCGATGAGCTCGAAGATGGCTTATTATCTGCTGCTGCTGCAGGAGTCAATGGTTTGGATTTGTGCGGAAGTAGGAATACTCGGCGGCAGCTGGGATATAGGTCGTATGTGTAGGAGCCGGCGCTGCTGATGGCGAAAAAGTATTTCCTACGGTTGGAGTGGTGGTAGATACTTCTTCCAGCGAGAGAGCAAGCATGCTGGGTGAATCGGCTTGTGTAGGGAACCGGCATCGTCAAGCCAGACATTGACTGGATACCAGCCTCCATAGATAGCGCTTTCCAGGGAGTGCGACTCTGGCATTGTTGCACGACTTTGGGCCAGCGGGAACGCAAAGACGATGCATATTGATATAACGAGGACGTCCGAACATCTTGATCATGTTTCAACTAAGATGGGTGTTCCGTTAAACTTCGACGCCGACAGGAAGCTGTGAGATTGACTGTTGGGTCCGTTAGCTCTGATCCTTCGACAAGGCCGTCCACGACGCTACAGCGGGGCCGACATCAAGGTCATTTGGAAGTTCTGGGATTGCCTCTGCGGCTACGTGTCGGACTATACGTGTCATAAAGTGCGGCGTGTATCTATCCACTTGTCATCGGTGAAAGAATTCACAGCAAAGACCCACCTGGCCAGGGACAGACGGCGCTCAGGGTGAGTAATACCGCACCGCATCTGTAGCGGCATCTAGAAGTATGCGATCTCCAGAAGCCTACGGTCCTTCGGCGTTCTCGCACAGATCGGAAGGACAATGATTGAGAATATATGCTACAGTGGTTAACCTACAAGATGTTCTGACACATTCAAGGAAAAGGTAAGGCTACCCACCTGGTGATACAAATAATAAAAATTAGAGCCGTTGTCATATCTGTCACTTTCACCCATTAGCACCTATGCAAACGTGAACTCTGGCGAGACAGCCAGCAGTTTCTTCATTACTGATTTTAGTTTCATATCGGCACGCTTAGAATAAAGTTCAGATGGAGTTCAAGCATGAAGAAGAGCACCTACTAATTACCATAGCGAAGCATACCCCACGATGTATCCAGTTGAAGACCTCCTTATACTCTGGATGTGTCTTTGGAAGGAGATGCATTGGAATGCTTCTAACGACGATTCCTTTGACAGTCTGTCGAATGTTAGATACTCGAAGGAAAGAAACAAGAACAGAAACACGAAGATCTTTATTCTTCCTCTCTACCGACGGCCCAGCCTCTGGTTCCACCTAAGACATTTTCCTCTTCAGTGTCTTAGCTGGTACTTCAGGGACCTCGAAATGCGGCTTTGGCGGGAAAAGGTCTCTGCCCTTAACATGCAAGAATAGCGGTGGCTTGCAGGGAGTGGGATCATCAGGCCCCGGTAATGTGACAGATGGTGGTGTTATTCAAGCAGCCAGTAGCTGCAATGCATTATCCCCAGCGGAAGACGCGTAGATAACGATGTTCGTCGCATCGGTATCCCCAAGCACGACTTGAACACCTATCGAACGGGTCTGCTCCGGTCGGAGGCAGAAAATGTTCTGAAAGTAGACAGTGGAAAGAACAGCCTGTGTATATCAAGCACGATGGTCGGAGCTGCCTTCGCGTCGTAGTCAAGTCGTAGTAGACGTCGGCAAGGTTAAGGCGAGGGGATTTTGCAGTAAAGTCGTCTGTGCGGTGAGCATGGCGGAGAAGGCGATGCCATCGAGGTTTACGCAAGAGTCTGGAAGCGCCAAGCTGCCTATGTACACCAGTCTGCTCGACGTCCGAGTGGGCGCCCGGCGAGCTCATCGTTGAGGATGAAATGTTTGATCACGTGCATTACTCTACTAGCGTTGCATTGTAATTTATTGCTGGACCGTCATCATAGTTTGTGACACCCGGGCTGACCTCTCCTCTTTCTCATCCCGGCACACTGATAGCCATCCACCGACACGGAAGACATCGATGCATACTACTGGCGAAGAGACCTGGCTTCCTTCGCACGTCTCATCTGGTCCGGCGGGAGGACCTGGGACGCCGACCACGCGTCAGGTTAAAGTTATTGCAAACCCTTCCTCTGTGACAAAATCGCCTGAAGATAGGCGGTTAGACGTCACGGATGCGCTCAGCTACATGGATGCGGTCAGAAACACCTACCAAGATAAGCCGGAGGTTTACAATCGCTTTTTGGACACGATGAGGGATTTTAGAGCCCAGATGTGTGTCGTAGTATCGTTTGATTCTGGAATTTTCACTCATTTCATTTCCTTAGTATCGATGCTCCTGGTGTCTTACAACGGGTATTACGACTCTTCCATAGGAACCCTACGCTCATCGAAGGATTTAACACGTTCCTCCCAGTTGGGTATCGTATAGACGTATCTGCCATTGATCCGAATATAATCACCGTCACTACGCCCCAGACAGTGACAACCCAAAGTGTCAGCAATTTTGGAATTGCCAGCATGCATTTACCCCACGACGTTCCGGGATTTGACCCTAACCTTGCGCACCCTCTTGATACCCCCCTGCATCCGTCACCTCCGCCTAGCTTTCATTCGATGACCTCACAACCGTACCAGTTCTCCTATGTTACTTCACAGTTGAATCCTATACTAGACATGGGTAGCTATGACCATGACCCTCTGTTGAACGCATCCTCGAGATCCAAGCGCAAGCGGGCGACGCTGGACAGGTCTCCAGTGAAGAAGCAGACTAAACCCGCTGATGAGAACCAGGGGGACGAGGTGGGTCTGAATCTACTCCGCCAGAGTTTACGCGTCTATAACAAGGCCAGGCTCTTTTAGACGTGCTTTTGAACAGACAAAGCTCAGAATCTGGGCATGGTGTGAATATCAGTATAAACAACGTAGTGAAGCAAGTCACCGAGGTGCTTTCCAAATCAAATATACACGATCAACTACTCGGTTTATCAGTGGAGGAAGCACAGTGCACTTTGGACTTCCTTCAGGATGTATGTCGGAACTCGTATCTTTCGAGTTTTTTATACATAACTTAACACTGGTCAGCTTCTAGATGGATCAAGTCTACCAATGATATCCAAGCGCGCCCTTCTCAAAACCTCGCTTAAGTTGACACGTACTCACGATTGTGTACCTCGGTGTCTCATGCTTAAAGGCTTCAAAAAGACGGGAGACTATCCATTTGCTCTAGGGCATTTTGGTGAGCTCTGGAGAGGACAAGTCGAGGGAATGGAGGTAGCTGTTAAACAAGCGAGGGTATTCGCAAGTGACAATAATATCAATAAAGTTCTACGGGTAGGCTGCTATCGATCTATACACGAAGACAACCAGCGTAACATTTCCTTTACAGCAAGTGAGGCGAGAGGCCATCATATGGAGGCAGTGCGACCATCCTAATGTCCTGCCTTTCTATGGCATTTATCGCGATTCTGCCCCTTCTACCTACTGTCTCGTGTCGCCATTCATGGCCAACGGATCTCTTCGTCAATATATGAACAAAACTGATGATCCTGATCGACACAACCTCGTAAGAACTGACCAACTCCCTTTTTTATATTAGCAATTCTGATAAATGAACAGGCTCTAGACATTACGCGCG